GCTCCAAAGCTACAGAGAAACCCTGCAAAAACAAACAAAGAACAGACGACTAGCTCTGTTAATGGCATGTAAATAGGATCCCCACATTTTATTATTTGGCAACTATTCTTTTCAGGCTAAACATTAGCTGCTCTCAGTGTATCAAAACAGATAGCTAAACCTTTTGGTCCAAAGCAAATTATGAAGATATCTAGTGAGGGAGAGGGTATGAAAAAAACATTCAAGACTTGAGGCTCAATGAAAGAGGAATCGGTAATGCGATAAATAGAAGCACCGGGCTGGAGGGATAGCTCAGTCATTAAAGGCTAGGCTCACCACCAAAAGTAAATAGAAGCACCCTACTGTCCAAGGTTTGATATAACCAGACTTCAGGGAATACAATTCTCACTACAAAATCTGATTGCTATCGAGGCAATACGAAATAGCAGTGTTGAACAAAAGCTTTATTCACTGTCCCTCACCAGACCCATTAAATCCCACCACCGCAGGAAGTCAGGGTGTGGGGTGGGCTGGGGTACCTTCAAGCATCAGGACCTTGGGACACAGTGTAAGAAAAAAGCAAGCAGCACAGCCATTGGCCACGATGCCTGTGGGGGTGCTGAACCTTTATGGTTTCCTGTGCTTTGGTTGTCCTGGTAACCTGAGGCCTCCCTATTTGCGTTGGCATCAGAAGCCAAGAGCGGAAGCAGAGCTGGAGCCCCAGGAAGACGTGTAGGGAAAAATGTGGACAAGGTAACAGCTATGCTCCAGGAGGGTCAGGCCTAGGACAGTAGAGTTTCTTGATTGAGGGTGGAAGGGAGTGTCATATAAAATTCAGATCTCTGGACTTCATAGCTAGCATTTCTGATTCAGTATCATCAAAGAGTACAGGAGCCTACAAGTGCATGAGTTTGTCTCCTACCAAGGAGGTCAAAGACACTATGTTTTGCTTTGTCTTGTTTTAGACAGTGTCTTACTGTGTAGCCCTGACTGACCTGGTACTTAACGTAACCCAGGCTGGCCTTAAACTTGAGGCAACCCTCCTGCCTCAGCCTTCCAAGTGCTGAGGTTACAGACATGCTACCACCACTGGCCTGGAGATTATTTGAGCATTCTTTTGAAGAAATTTCTAACGGTTTCTTTTCATTCCAGATCCTAAAGCTGACACACACACCAAAGCGACTCTGACAGACACTACTGACAGTTCTTTGGTCTGCTTTTTAAGTTTTGCATTTTTAAAAAGGATTTCTTTTTATTTCATGTGTGTGACAGTTTGCCGGGGTGATGTATGGACATCACCTAGTGCAGTGCCCATGGAGGCCAGAAGATGGAATCTGAGCCCATTGAATTGGGGTTACAGATGGTGTGAGCTGCCACATGGATGCTGAGAACCAAGTCTGAGTCCTTTGCAAGTGCTCTTAATTGCTGAGTCATCTCTCTGGCCTCTTATTTTGCATTCAGTTCTGTTAAAGAGGCTTAGCATCTCCCCCACTCTCCAGAAACTACTGTGTGTCCTTATGAGACACCTGGTGTCTCATCCTCCTTGCATTTCTCTTGGCTTATTGTCACTGTCCTACTCACATTCCTTTATTGTCTGTTCCTATCCCCTTTCCTACACCTTTAATGAAACTCGCAAACAGTAGTTTCTGGAGAGTTGGAGAGATGGCTTGTGATTAAGAGCACTGGCTGCTGTAGGCAGACTTTTCTGTCTGTCAGCCAAACTCTGTCTATGGGCCACACAACCAGAGGACCCAAATGTGATTCCTAGCACTCACGTGGCAGCTCACTACCCTTTCTAACTCTGACCCCAGGGCATCTCATGCCCTTTCCTGGCTTCTGTGGACACCAGATACAAATGTAGTGCATGTTCATAGGCAAAACACCTATACACTTACGATAACAATCTTAAATCTAGTTTTAAAATGTTGTTTCTGGACCGGGGAGACAGCTCAGTGTGTAAAGTGCTTGTTACAAGTGTGGGGACCCATGTTCAGTTCTCCAGCACCCCTGTAAAAGCCAGAGGTGATGGTGTGCACTTATAACCCCAGTACTGAGCCAGGATAGGTGAATCCTGTCAGTCCAGCAGACATGGCTTAGCGAGACCCCTGTGGGGGCTACAGAAGGATCTTTCAGTCTGTCAGAATATTGGGCTGCACCCCCCACCCATGTACCTGATATTCACCACAGCCTTACATACCATCTTAGCCCTGAGATGCAACCTCCTCAGTGAAGTTTCAAGTACATAGGAATGAATGACTCCCCTCTCACCCTTCTCCAGGCTGGATACAGAATGACAAAAGAGGGTTATCTGCTAAATTTGTGAATATAAATTTAGCCAATGTCATCTTCCATCCCCAAAATGTATTTTGCTTGACTCTAAAGTGATATACTAAATACACACATTTACATATATTTGCTTTGGACTGTTATTTGTGTATGTTCATATTACAGCATTCATGCACATAGATGATGGCATCTTCATTTGGGAAGCACTTAGGATCCAGCACCAGAATTATGGAACTCTTCACCCAGTGCCGACCACAAAGGACAACTTAAAGGACCTGTCAATGAGTTTTACTGTAATTCTGGACGTGCCATATTGAGAAGGATTTACTGGAAATGTGAATCTGGAAATGCTTTTTTTCTTTAGAGATGACTCTTACTAGTCTAAGCTGGCCTTGAGTTCAGCTGGGGCTGCACTGGAACATATGACCACCCTGCTTCCACCTCCCGAGTGTTGGATTTCAGGCATATACCACCAAGTCCAGATGGTACTAGAGGAGACTGAGCCAGGGCCTTGAGCACTGAAGTCTAGCTTGTTACCAAGTTCCAGCCACAGAGAAGTTTAATAATAATAATAATAATAATAATAATAATGCAAGCTGGACGTTGGTGGTGCATGCCTTTTAATCTCAGCACTAGGGAGACAGAGGCAGGTGGATCTCTGAGTTCGAGGCCAGCCTGGTCTACGGAGTGAGTTCCAGGATAGCCTCCAAAACAAAACAGAGAAACCTGTCTTGAAAAAACAAAATAATAGTAATATAATAATAATAATAATAATACAAACACAAACATCTTTTACTATATCTGGAGGAAGGATTTTAACCACAAGGAAAAGGTAGCAGCTGTGGTAAAAGCAGTTTAGAAACTAGAAACAGAAAAAAAGGTGCTAGCAAAGGAAGGAAGGCAGAAATGGACCATGCAGAATAAATAGCCAAAGCAGAACCTTTTAGAGACCAAAGGACACATCAAAGGAAAAGAGCATTTCAACAAGGGTGTTAAATATGGAAAAGAGTCAAGGAGGGCTGTGGGCTTTTAAAGGGGGGCACGAATAAGTAGTGGTGTGTGTTGGCAAAAAGAAGTGAAGAGATGAGAGGAAGGAGGAAATTTATAGCAGAGGAAGTTGGTGTGGAGTTTTCCTCTCAAGATGTCCAGCAGCGTGAAGAAGAAATAAAAGCACAGGCCTCTGGGAAGGAGGCAGGGCTGGGGCATCATGGGACAAAGCAACAGGACCCAAAGCAGGACATTTTCTTCTTTTCATCAGATGACCCGGATTTTCTTGTTTGGGACCAAAGACAACTGCAGAGTTTAATGCTCTTTAAATTACAAAGAGCCTAACCCTCTCGATTGCCTTTGGTACAAGAGAGCACAGATTATAAGGATCAAGATAGAATGTGTCAGTTTCTGAGACAGCACAAACAAATCCATTTGAGAAGTCAGACTTAAGTAGCTGTGTTGTCACACTACATGACTTAAGACAGCTGTCTTCCTCTTACAGAGCAAACACAGACACCGACCAGTCTGCACTAGACAGAGGTAACCCAGCACAAATGACTGGATGGTGACCTGCTTTTATTTGTATACCAGAATGTAATGCCCCATCCCTAGGAACCTTTTACTTGAGGTCAGGACAGGTGAAAGGGTTGTGGAGGAAAAGTTAAAAATAAAGACAATTAAATAAAGGAAAGGGAAGCAGAAGTGTGTTGCTGATAAGAACCGAGACGGATATGCATAATTCAGTGCAGCCCAAAAGCCCCCAGATCAGCAAAAGAAAACATTAAATCATATATCCAATTCTCTCTCTCTCCTTTCTGCTCAGAAGTTCACCAACTCAAGATGATCTTTCCCCCTCAGCCTCCCCATCCCAAGTGCTGATAGCACAGGCATGAGCCACCAGGTTTGGCCATATAACTAGTCTTTTAAAATGTTTTGCTGACCTGAGCAAGTGGGAGCTCACAGTCCCCAGTCTGACAGCTGCGGAACCAGCATAGGACCGAACCAGGGCCCCTGAACGTGCGTGTCTGTTGGGAGGCCAGGGCAGTCTATGGGGCCTCTGACAGAACCAATATTTATCCCTAGTACACGGACTAGAGCCCATTCCCTATGGAGGGATACTCTCTCAGACTGGACATATGGGGGAGGGCCTAGGCCCTGCCCCAAATGATGTGACAGATTTGATGATCCCCCATGGGAGGTCTCACTCTCCCTGGGGAGTGGAAAGGGGGTGGGGTGGGGGTTGGTGGGGGCTAATGGGAGGGCAGGAGGAAGAGCAAACTGGGATTGGTGTGGTAAATAAGATAGTTTTTAAATTAAAAAATTAATGGTTTTAAGGTTTATTCATGCATGTTTTCCATCCATGTATTTATGTCAACCATGTGCATGCCGGACGCCCCAAATCAGAGAAGGGTGTCAGATGCCCTGGTACTGGGGTTATGAATGGCTATGAAAAACCTTGTGGGTGCTGGGAATCAAATCCAGCACTTTAATTATAAATGTGTTTTAACCCTAAGCCATCTCTCCAGCCCCCATAAAACTAATATCTTAGTGACCTAAGTTTCGGGGATTTTTGGTTGTTTTACATTAACCATAGAGTTTATTACAGGTGGGGAGAGGGGAGAGCAAGAGGGGGAGGGACAAAAAGAGACAAGAGGAGACGAAGACGAACAGAATAAGAGAGCTAAAGAGAAGAGAGTAAAGGGGGAAAGGACCCTAAGTTTTGGTTTTAAATCAAACACATAACATTGATTTTCAACTTTTATTCAAGATTCTGTTTTAAAATCAGTAAAAGCAAATCGTTTTTAAGATCGGCTCTCGCTCTGTAGCCCAAGCTGGTTTCAAGAGAGTGGCAACCCTCAGTTTCCTCGATGCTGGGCTGGCCATATGGGAAAATCCCTAACAGTCTCACTTTGGGGGCCTGGGACAGGGTACTGAACGGCAGGCTGGTTACTAATGGTACACAGATTAGTTTGTTTTTATATCACCTACTACCTTTGCCATCTCAGGCCAAGATGATGTTCCAGTCTACCTGAGAAATCCAAGCATAATTTTCCCACAGGGAAAGCCTTTTCAGAACCAGGAACTACTGCAAAGATCCAGATGATCCGACTCTCCATGAATCCTACCTTCACATGGGCCTCTGGACAGACACTGCTGGTAGTCACACCCCACCTGCTGGGATGGTGGACGCTTTCTCAGAAGCCTGAAGCTCACCACCTGCCTGTTCTCTGGATCACCCTCTCTCTAGGAAGACTTTGTAGGACCTTTTCTCTGCCCTTCCTCTCAAGTTTCCCAGGGGCTCTACCCTGTTTGGCTGTCTATTCAGAAACGAGCTGTGAATTTAGGGGCTCTGCATTTTGCACTGCGGTGCCCAGAAAGCCCCTTCCATGATTTCTTTGAGCTCTTTTAAGACCCTCCCCTCCCCAGGGTCCAGTCCCCAAATCTCCCAGAGCCATGATCTTCAAAGGCCTCGCTCTGTCGCATCTGGGCAAAGTGGGCCACACTGGGGTGACTCAGCCCCGGAATGTGCTCACTTCCTCACCCTGCCACCTGCCTGCACTGCAGGAACACAGCCTGGCTCACCCCCAGCGGATGTTTGCCTTGTCCCCGCAGAGGAGGGCTGTGCCAACCCCCGCCCCAAAGGCTGTTCTCCTGGGACTCAGAGGCTTTAACCATTGATAACCCTACACATCCCCAGCAGTGCCCGGACCACCAAGCAGTTCTACACTACCCTGCAACCTCAGAAAGTTACCTTGCTCAGCTCGTCTCCTTCCAGAAGCTCCCACAGCTAATGCTCACTTCAAAGTTTACACACCAGTGCCCACCAGGTCCCACCTCCAGCACCCCCACTGCCTCCAGGATCTCCAGCTTCCCACTCGCTTCTAGTCCAGTTACTGCAGAAAACAGCCTATGCCCAGCCTTCAGGTGGGTACACCCCCACCCCCAAAGCAGTGTTAAAGCTAACTAATGACCAGACTTCTAATAAGCTCCATGCTCGGTGCCTTCCAATCCCTAACCCAGCCAAGACAGCAGGAGTCGACGGCGGTCATGCCCCTACACGGGAGAATACCTGGGTGCGTCCTGCTAAGTGTTCCTTTGCTTTTGTCCTGACACGCCTTGGAAAGGGAACCTTGTTTGCTTTCACTCGACTTGGGGGTGGTGGTGCTTGGGGTGGAACCTAGGACACTGAGATGGTAGGCGAGCGCTCTGTCACTCTGTCACTGAACTACGTCCCCGGCCTAAGCAAAAGCTGTGTTGGAGGAAGACAGCTAAGGAATTAGACCTGTACTGACAGTGGCTGCTGAGTGACGCAGTGACACGTAGAATGAAGCCAGTCGTATCTGCTCCACTGGGTGATGAGAGTAAAGCTTGGCACGCATGGGACCACAGGCCTGAGTGAAACACAGAGCAAACGTCCTCTGAGCAGGAGAGGGATGGCTGGGCCCACAGCTGGGTCTTGAAATGTGGGAAAGGGAGTGAAGAGGTCCAGTTTGACCAGGGCCTTCATAACAGATAAGCCGTCACCATCACAAGCGTCACAAAGGAGACTTGGGATCCACAGGATCAACTACGAAAGGGCAGAGTCCTAAAGCCAGCAGGAGGGAGGGTAAGACATCCCTGTTCCCCAGGTACTGGGGTGGAAAAGCAGCTTAGCCAAAGCAGCAGGATGTCCACGACTGAAACCACAGTGCTCCCAGGGCCACATCTGAAGGGGGCAGAGGGTACTGTAGAGCATAAGTATGGAAGGCAGACATGGGCCTGGAGAGAGCAGTCCACACAGCAGCCTGCAGAGCTGCTTACTGTCCTCCAGGGAAGAGAACAGCAGCATTCTCTCAGCGTTAGCCTCCATACATGGCTATTTTCTGAGAGCCATGGGCCAAAGAGGTGCTAAGAACATCCCATGTGCTACTCACGATGAGCCCACGAGCTGGCATTTCTACCAAGAGACAGGATGACTGCGGAGAAGGGACTTGTGTGAGGTCAGACAGCTAGGAAGAGTCCCAACCTGAGTCCCAACAGTCTGTCTCTAGTCTCCCAGAGCCTGCAAAACTCGAAGACCGAAGTCCACCAAGCCTTGTTCCCTCATGAGGAAAGACGGAGCACCTCTGTGAAAGCTCGATCGTCTGTCAGGGTACTTGGAAAAGGTGCTTCTCTTTGAGGTGGGGCATGGCTAGGGATGGAGCAATCTTGCATCTGCTGCCCCTTTGGGGTAAAAAACAATGGCAAGTTTATCTTTGGGGCGCCCCCCCAAAGCTGAGGGTAGCCATTTCTCAGATGCCGTAGGGAAAGTCTGCCCCAGGAATGAAGGAAACATGCTCTTCACTCCAGATGCCTGCTTTCTCTCCTGGAGTCTCTGGCAGTTGCACCCTGCTGTAGCTCCTTGGTTTGGCTGGGGCACAGAATTAGCCATCCCCAGGAAATGCCTCCCTCCGGTCCAGGCAGGGATCCCAGCACACACACCCCTGGTGGTGGTGGAGGGGGGGTTGATGGAATGCTTCCTCTCTGCAGGTCAAGGAGATCTGGGGACCACCTGGAGCCTTCAACCCCCACCTCCTGGCTGAGGAAGTACCCAGTCCAGTGCCCCTTCCATGGCCACCTCCCTCCCCCTAGCTGTGTGGGGGCATGAATCAGCTCTCACAGCTTGTTAAATGCTGGACCTCGTTTTCATGCCCTCACCTCAGGAAACAGAGTTACAGCCTGTCCAGTCCTACTCAGCAGGGGGCCAGGGTCCTCACTTTATAAACACCCTCGGCCTGTAAGAGCAGAGGGCCATGGTATGAGGAAGAGCCCAACGAGACAGAAACTCAAGAGTCAAGGCGTAAGGCAAGAAAAGCAAAGACCAGAGGAACCAACAAAGCCAAGCAGGGCCTGGGAAAGCTGGGCTGCAGAGATGGCTCTAAGGATGCTCTGGACTGGACAAGGCAAGGGGATCCTGGGAGGCTGGAGGAGCATCTGCCTGGTGATATCTCTGCTTCTGCAGCACCCAGGAGTGAACAGCAAGTGCTACTTCCAAGCTCAAGGTAAGGTGGACTGAGGCTTATGGTTGAGGGTGGGGGTGAAGGCTCAGAGGTAAGTCTGCCAGACTACTCAGTCCTTCAGCATATGGAACAGGAAGGGCTGTTTGGAGGGCTAGTGTGCATGGCTTCTCTCCCACCCCAAGCCAGCAGAGACTGCCGCCAACAACCCGCAATTCTCACCTTCCTCATTCTCATAGAACAATCCTCATTCTTCCCTAGCCCCCTGCCACCATGATGGGAAATATTTCACTCTGGGCGAATCCTGGCTCCGCAAGGACTGTTTCCATTGTACCTGTCTGCATCCTGTTGGTGTGGGCTGCTGTGACACGTGAGTGACCAAGGATGGCCAGAGGGAATGCCACTGATGGGCCTGGGGGACAGCCAGGGAGTAACTAATTTCTGTGAGGCAAGAATAAGCAGAAAAGCATCATGCGACCGCAGCTGTGAAGGCACCAAGGAGAAAGAGGAGACGGGGTAGATTGGGAGGGAAATACTCCTGCTTGGAAAATGAAAACAGTCCTTATACAGGACTGGAGCGCTGAGTGAGGGAGTCTGGGGGACACTAGAGGAGGATACGGGAGGATGGCTGAGAGGGAAGGGCATGTCATAAAGGTGGCTCTCCTCTGTACTGACCCCCAATCTCCTCTCTGTACCGACCCCCAATCTCTTCTCTGTACTGACCCCCAATCTCTTCTCTGTACTGACTCCTAATCTTTGGTTTTTCTAGGTCCCAGCATCCCATTGACTTCCCCGCTGGGTGTGAAGTACGCCAGGAGGCAGGAACCTGTCAATTTTCTCTGGTGCAAAAATCTGACCCTCGGCTTCCCTGCAAAGGGGGAGGACCTGACCTAGAATGGGGCTCAGCTAACACCCCTGTTCCTGGGGCTCCTGCTCCCCACTCCAGCTAAAGGATCACCCATCTGCTACTGCTCACTGCTGCTGTCACTTCCAGGGAAACCACTAGCAGCTGCCAATTTACTCTGAATAAATAAATCAATACCACAGCTGAAAGCCTGGTTCTCATCGCCGGTGCTGCAGGGCCCCAGGAGGGAAAAGCGGCCCCACTGGAGTCCAGGTGTTGGATTTTCAGCATCTTGAAGAAACTAGTGCGCGGGGGGCTTGTGGGCCAGCCTCAGATAGTTATGCTGCTGGTGCTGGGGTTGGATTTTCAGCATGTTGAAGAAACTAGTGCGCGGTGGGCTTGTGGGCCAGCCTCAGATAGTTATGCTGCTGGTGCTGGGGTTGGATGTTCAGCATCTTGAAGAAACTAGTGCGCGTGGGGCTTGTGGGCCAGCCTCAGATAGTTACGTTGCTGGTGCTGGGGTTGGATGTTCAGCATCTTGAAGAAACTAGTGCGCGGGGGGCTTGTGGGCCAGCCTCAGATAGTTATGCTGCTGGTGCTGGGGTTGGATGTTCAGCATCTTGAAGAAACTAGTGCGCGGGGGGCTTGTGGGCCAGCCTCAGATAGTTATGCTGCTGGTGCTGGGGTTGGATTTTCAGCATCTTGAAGAAACTAGTGCGCGGGGGGCTTGTGGGCCAGCCTCAGGTAGTTATGCTGCTGGTGCTGGGGTTGGATGTTCAGCATCTTGAAGAAACTAGTGCGCGGGGGGCTTGTGGGCCAGCCTCAGATAGTTACGCTGCTGGTGCTGGGGTTGGATGTTCAGCATCTTGAAGAAACTAGTGCGCGTGGGGCTTGTGGGCCAGCCTCAGATAGTTATGCTGCTGGTGCTGGGGTTGGATTTTCAGCATCTTGAAGAAACTAGTGCGCGGTGGGCTTGTGGGCCAGCCTCAGATAGTTATGCTGCTGGTGCTGGGGTTGGATTTTCAGCATCTTGAAGAAACTAGTGCGCGGTGGGCTTGTGGGCCAGCCTCAGATAGTTACGCTGCTGGTGCTGGGGCCTGGGGCAGCATATGAGGCCAGGGTGGGGCTCGTAGCAAGCACTTTGATGGGGAGGTCCCAGCTGAAGGTGTCTACAGGCACCTGCTCAGGCCCTGTCCAGGTCGCAGGTTCAGGCTGCTCCAATGGGGGCAGAAGGACCATTCCTGGTTCCCGGGATGTTACAAATTCAAAATGCAATCGCCACTTCAAGGACACTGCAAAAGAGAGAGATAGATACCCTAAAACATGGTTCTCAACCTCTTATGGGTCAGAGGACCCTTTCACAGGTCGCTCAAGACCGCTGGAAAAGAGGTATTTACATTTCAAGTCATAACAACAGCAGAATTACAGTTATGAAGTAGCAATGAAATAATTTCATGGTTGGGGTCACCACAACATGAGGAACTGTGTTAAAGGGTTGCAGCAATGGGAAGGTTGAGAACCACTGGTCTAAAAGCAAGCAGGTCAGGGTGGTGGCACACACCTGTAATCCCAGTATTAGGTGAAGGCAGGAAGACCACATGTTCAAAGGGGACTACATGAGACCCTAATATTAAAAAAAAAGAACACCCAAAAAACAAACAAACAAAAAACCAGGTGGTAGGTAGTAAAAGCCAATGACAGGATATGGTTAGTAAAATAAAAAATAAAAAACTCAGAACCATTAAGATGGTTCAGCAGGTTAAGGGAACTTGTCGCCAAGCCTGATGACCTAAATCTGATTCCCAGGACTCATACGGAAGAAAAAACCAACTCCACAAAGTTGTCCTCTGACCTCCACACAAACGCTGTGGTGCATATACCCAGATCCACACACAAAATAAGATCAATAAATGCATTTAAAATTCTGACTGGGTGTGATGGTGCATGCCTTTAACCCCAGTGCTCAGGAAAAGGTGGAGGAAGCAGGTGCATCTTTGTGAGTTTGAGGCCAACCTGGTTTACACAGTGAATTCCAGGCCAGTAAGGCAGTGGTGGCGCACACCTTTAATCCCAGCAGAAGAGGAGGAGGGAATCTCTGTGAGTTCAAGGCCAGCCTGGTCTACAGAGCTAGTTCCAGAGCAGCCAGGGCTACATGGAGAAACCCTGTCTAGAAAAACATAAAAACAAATTTTTTGAAAGAAAAAACAAATTGTATCCATAAAGAGGAGGAGACACAGGGCAGGAGCTTCGATCAAACATTTCATTTTTTAAGAAATCTGGTGTATTGACATGTTAACCAGAGACGCCATTAAGAATCTACCTAGAAACCCAAAGTCAGGACAGTCAAGACTAGGTAGCCTGAAGTCAACGTGCTAAGGAGCCAGAGGTCACGGCCTCACAGGGGCAGGGACAGTACTTTAAAGCTGTTAAGAGTTTAGGGGTCAGCACATCTAAGAATCAGATGTGAAAAAATGCAAAGGGTCAGGCTGGATTTGGGTATATATGACTGGGAGTTTTAGGGATCAAGGCCCATTACACTCTGTCCAAGCCCAGCGTTTACTTCCCCTACTCCTTTCTCCAATAATGGTCAGGCTCTCACCAATGGCAGTGCAGAAGCCAGGGGTAGAACAGAGAGGGATAGGGAGAGAGAAGCTGGTTCTAGCTGTATGGAGGCAGGACTCCTGGTGCCGGGCATGAGTCACATGGGACACTGAAGGGGCGACTCCGGTCCCACGGCGTCGCTGGTACTCTGGCTGGACACGCTCTTCAGTCTGCAAGCTTACTGAAAACTGTGAGCAAAAGAGAGGTGTATACCAGCAGGCATTTGAGAACAAAAGAGAGGTGTATACCAGCAGGCATTTGAGAACAAAAGAGAGGTGTATACCAGCAGGCATTTGAGAACAAAAGAGAGGTGTATACCAGCAGGCATTTGAGAGCAAAAGAGAGGTGTATACCAGCAGGCATTTGGACATATGGACTGTAGGTGAGCGGCGGCCCTGAGGAACCCCAATTTCCACTTCTACAAACCACCCCTCTTTATGCAGGCCCCTCTTCTACCCTAGTCCTTCAGGCTGAGCACAAAAAGCAAAAACAAAACAAGCCCCCCAAAAACAAAACAAACCCCCAAAACAAAAACAAAACAAGCACCCCAAAAAACCAAAACTGTTTCTTTCTCACCTGCAAACAAGCTACGGTTCCTTCCCCTAAGTTTAAGGTCCCCACCACGTCCTCGCCGAGTCGGTACACAGATTTGAAGATACCAAATGTCCCAACTTTCCCTCGGCCATCGCTGATATTGTATAAATCTGGGGGAAATTGATACCAAAAGGCTACAGTTTACGCTGGGGAATATCTAGGACTGAGTCTCAGAGGCCAAAACATGAGTCTTTTTGTTGTAATGGGGCAAGATATTAGTGGACCCATGAAGGGATGTGGCAGACAGGAGACTTTTCAGACAGGAACACACCAAGGGAAGGGTTGGATCAGGGCAATTATGAAAGGTTCTCACGGAGGCTGCGGCAGGAGGTGGCAGCCATGAGGCGCTCCCCCGCGAGCTCAGCTAGCCATGAATCCTTCTTCCCACTTTCGTCCTCCTCTAAGAATGGACTGGATGGAGCCACAGCCTCATCCTGGGGAAAGTGGACATCCTGAAGACCTGGAGAGAAGGAGCAGAGGTAATGCTGGGACAAACCAGAGATGCAAACAGACAAGTGGTTTAGAGTCCAACCTGAGGAGGCTGAAGGGAGCCGCGGTTACAGTCCTCATCACATCCCCAGCGCTGTCCCTAACACCGGGCGTCCCTGCAGGTCCTCTTGGCCTATGCTTGGGGAGCCTCTCCCCAGCGCCGTCCCTCTGGGAACCTGACTCACCAGTCAGCACAAGAACTCTCAAAGGGACTCTGAGTAAAGTGATGGGTGAGTTGACACGCTGGCAGCCAATGGTCAACTTGTAGACATACTTGACGGACTGACCCCGAAAGGAAGGTGGTCCCTCTGTGGGCAGCACTTCACTGTACGAGTCTGGGTGGGAGAATACCAGTCAGGGCAGCCACAGGCAGCCAGGGTCCTCCCTCCAGGAGACTTAGAAGGCACTTTTGGGTTGGGAGACAATCACTCACATGATTTGGACTCTCCAGGGTCTAGCCTCAAGTCACAAAACAGAATTTTTGGCGGAGTAGAAAGGATACACTGACCCCTCTCACCTATAAAAAAGAAAGACCGCAATGAAATGACTCCATAGTCCATTACTGACCAGGGTCGCACAGCAGATGGAGGTGGAAAAAACTGCCAACTCTTTCTGATGTAATATGGGCACAGTCTTGCAGCCCAAAATCAATAGTTAACCTTCCCCTGCACCTGTGGTATGTTGGTGACATACAACAACTCAGTTTTACCCCTGGGTGACAATGACCTCCCCTCCCTCCAAGACAAGCGCTCTACATCTAACCTCTAACCTCGGTGAGGAAGAAAGACAGTTTGGCTGTCAGGCTGGACGTCTGGCTGACTAGAGTCAGGGGGCGGCAGCGACACCCGACTTTCACTGGCATGAAACTGGCAGTGGATCTGGGCACTGGCCCAGGCCAGAGCCTCACTGTGAAAGAGGACAAAGAAGGAATGAGAAGACGGTTCCAGACTTCACAGACGCTTCCCCTCCAGTGCTGTCTGACAAGATCACCACCGTTAGACTGTCTTAAGTGACCAGGGAATCCAGAACCCCCTACTGAAACCATTACACAACGCAAAGTGCATCAAGGTGGGGGGGGATAGGGGTCATGTCATCACATCTTTGATGAAAAGCTCTTCCCTACAATGATCAGGAGGTGGTGATGGTAGTGTAGTTACAGCACGGCCAAAGCTCTGATTTAGAAGGAGAGAGCGGTACCAGGCTTCCTCTCGGAGGGGCCACCACCTTCAATACCAGCATCCCCACCTGGATGCAGAAGTGGCGTTCGGGGGCAGGGGATTAGTGACAGTCACTAAACATTCCAGAGCCTCCCCCGCCAGAAATACAGGACCTCGACTCAGCTCGGCCACCACTTCAATCATGGCAGCTCCAGAAACAAATCTGGAAGGAAACACAAGGTGCCAGAAGTCAGTACAGGGGAAAGGAGGAAGGAGTGTCTAAGACCTAGGGTTATGTCTAGATCTGAGTCCCAGGGGGCAAGAAGTAGGGGTTTTCACGTTTCGGTGCGGGTGGGAAGCGCTGGGATTTGGGAAGCTGGCAGGCAGATTGGATGGGCGACGGATAATGACTCGGTACTCTAGCCCCAGACCTCTGCGACCAGAGTCGGGCTAGGCCCCCTGCGCCGCCACCCACGGACTTCCAGGCCTGCCTTTGTCCCCGCCTCTCCCGGGGCTCCACATCCTGGCCCAAGGCACCGCTGCGCGTTACGCCTCTAGATACAAACGCGGACTCTTACAGATGGAGGTCCTCACCTGCCCGACCCTCAGTGACCGGCTCGGAGATCGGTGGCTTCCGCGGTGCCAGCGGCGCGGCAGAGGCGGGACTTCCTTTGTCACACTGCAGGGTTGAGGCGTCCCTTCCGGCCCGACCTGCGGGGTGCTTCCGGCCAGAAAGGGCTCGGGTGGTCCCCTGGGCTGTGGCACCTGAGCGCAGGCGCTGGGGATCCGGGCCGGAGGGACCCGGTACCCGGCCCTGGAGACCCTGGAGCCGCGGCCCGGGGCGGGGCCGAGGGTCGCTGCGAGCTCCCGGGCGGGTCCCAGGGGCGGTGCTTTGCGGGCAGGTACCGCGGCTCCGCCCCCGTCCGCGGAGCCGGTCGGCCTTTGGCCGGGCGAGCTATTTGCCGCGGCCCAATGACAACAAGGCCCAACCCTTCCCGCCTAGGATCTAGAGTCGCGACCCAAGAGAGCCCGCGGCGACTTTATTGCTGTGGCCACTGCGGCTGCAGCAGGAGCTCTCTGACTTTACCGGGACACCGGCTTCCTACGGCGTTCCTCAGCGTCGGACCCTCCCGGAACGCAACCGGTGCTCGCGTTTCCAAACGTCAGAAACGTGTCAGAGGGACCCGCGGCCACCGGGGTCGTGAGGACCCAGGATCCAGTGAACATGGTAACTTGCGTACCGGCCTCAGAGCAAATCAGCTGTGCCGAAGGAGATCCACGAGTTTGTTGTCCTGAAGATACTGGGGTCGCTGAGGCTGTGCCGGCTACTGACTGCCCTGAAGACAGTGGATCCCAGAATGAGCCAGACGACTGCAATTCAGAAGACTCTGGGCAGCTGATGGCCTCCTACGAGGGTAATGCTAGGGGCTACCAGGTGCCTCCTTTTGGCTGGCGGATCTGCTTGGCTCATGAGTTTGCAGAGAAGAGGAAACCGTTTCAGGCTAACAACGTCTCTCTAAGCAACTTGGTAAAGCATTTCGGTATGGGCTTGAGGTGAGTAGATCCTGTTGCCTAGAATGCCTTGATTTCCTTTGTCCCCATTCAAGGCTTGCTGCTTAAGTGGGAGAGGGTAGTCAAGCTAGTGGGCTCCTGGTTCCAGTCAAGTGCGCCGTATCCCCGCATACTTTAACCCTGCCGTGTTTTAGGTGAGACTGAAGAACATCTTTTTTCAACCCTCTTTTCCTAGCATCTTCTCCGCAGCAAAGAGAAGGAGCGTTTGGTCCTGCAGTCAGTCTTTCCTAATTAGGCTCCCTCCCAAGCACTTCCTCTTTCCCAGACTCCACTTTGAGATCAGCTATACTTTGTGGCAAAGTAGAAGATCAGCCTCTGTCGTACGGATACAGTGTTTTGTTTGCGAGGAGAAGGTTCTCGGCCTCCATTCCCCTCGGCAGCTGAAGCATCTGTACGGTGTTAAGCATGTGCCTCCTTCAGTCCCGGCTTTTAATTGTCTCCTTCCTCACTCTCTGACTCCTGGGATAGTTGAGTCTGGCTGTTGCCAACCCTAAAGAGAGGGTGAGAAGTTCACTCTATTCTGTGACAGAGGGCTTCTGACTAAAAAAAAAAAAAGCAAAGTTGGAACTGGGCGCCACCTACTTGGGAGGCTGAGGCAGGGGATTAATTTGAGCCTAAGAGTTCAGAGCAAACCTGAACACCACGGTGAAAGCACCCCCGAGTAACAAGTGGGGAGAGCTGAGGACACAGCTCAGGGCATGCACTCCACCACTGAGGTACCCCAGCCCCTGAAGATGACGTGTAGCCAGACTGCCGGAACATCCCTAGTGCTCTTGTAGGTAAGTCTCCCAGAGCCAGCCCCAGCTGCTCCTCCTTCCCAGAGTTCAGAGACCGCGATCAGAAGCCGTACCTGTTAACAGAAACAGGCGTACATAGAGACAGAGAGCATCATTCTGAAGTCATTCTGAGTCAGTTCACATATAAGCGCAGTGCTGGGGAGGGAGGCATAAAAGTTGGGGGGAAACCAGGGAGCCCCTCCTGCCCCAGTCAGTGTAATGGACTGTGGCGGGAAATCCACTTACCTAGCCCTAGCCCCAGGCGATGAGAAGGGCTGGTGCTGCCTGGACAGTTGGCTCCTGTGGATGGTCTATCTCAGAGAATCATTCCTTTAGGCCCTTTATGAACCTGACTGTACTAATTACTTTTCTTATTGCTATGATCAAAACCGGAAAGAAGTAACTTAAGGAAGGGTTTGTTTTGGCTTCCAGTTTGAGGGTACATTCTGCCATGGCAGAGAAGCGATGGTGGTGGGAATGACAGGCTGGCCACACCGTGTCACAGCCAGAAGCAGAGAGCAGTGAACTCCGCTTTCTTTCTCCTTTTTACTCAGCCCAGGGCTCCAGCCCATGGGATGGTGTCACCCACAGTTAGGAGTATCTTCCCACCTCAATCATCCTCATTTAGATAACTGGTTCTCATAGGCATGCCCACGGGCTTGTCTCTTGGGGGATCCAAGATCTGGTCAAGTTGTCGGAAGAATTAACCACTATATTGTTCCAGTCCAACTCTGACCCCAAAGCCCTTATGTCAAACTGGGATCTAGGGTACTGAGACAGGGATTGCACATGATCAGGATAAGGTCAAGAACATGTGTACATTCATCCTAGCTGCTTAGCCACTAAATATGAGGTGAGTCACAGAGGTCCCAAACTCTTGCTCAGCCCCTTGGACCTTGGCTTCCCATACTAGGATAGGGTGGGTATTATGGACATACAGCTTTTTGGAATGGAATGAAATCCTACATGGAGGAGAGGGCAGAGATGAGAATTCAGAATGATCATTTTGAGCTGGGATCGGTATTATAGAGAAAACCGAATGTGTCAGGAATGGCCAGCTGTCAGACTAGAGCAGGGAACCCCTGGGAGTGTGAGGGGCACCCTCAACAGGAATGCTGGCAGGATAGTTCTTGGAGTCTACACTTAGTAAGAACTTGGATTGGCGTTCCTTTAGGCAGTCAGTTCACTCCATGTTTACTACAAGATAGTCCTTGTTCTCCTATCTTAGGATTTTGTAATTCTCCCCAGTCCTTGCCAGCCTCTCACTGCTGCCCTACCTCCCCAAGCTGGCAGGGGACATGCAGTCCCTCCACCACCCACCCTGTGTCTTCCACGCCTTTTGCCCTGCCGCCAGAATGCACCCCTTCCTTTTACCCTGCCACCAGAATGCACCCCTTCCTTTTACCCTGCCGACAGAATGCACCCCTTCCTTTTACCCTGCCACCAGAATGCACCCTTCCATTGATTTTAATCTCTGCCCTCCCAAATCTTGCTCCAGTCTGCCTCCCATTGCTCTCTCTCTGCCAACTATTTGTCCATGCATTCATTTATAAATCCATCAAACATTTATGGGCTGCAGGCCCTGTGCTTTGTCCTGTACTTAGGGCTGTGGGTAACATTCATCTAGTCTTGGTCATTGTCCCTTAACTCAAGGAACTTAAAAAGTTGTCATGCTCACGTGAGGGACACCCTGAAATAACAAGGTAGTGTCTAATTAGGAACTGAGATAGTGTGTGGCAATAGTCATACCTGTCAGCGATATTCTATTTATGACTTTCTTATCTGTTAGGCTATTTGATCTTTTGGTGATTACATGAGGTAGCTAGGGTAGAAGTTATTCCCATTTTGTAGATGGGGAAACAAAAACTTGAGGGTTCGCACATCGAATTACTTGTTTCGATGTGAATGAATGATGGGCTAAGGAGGAGAGGAGTGGGAGAGACTGGCAGAGCAGGGCTTGCGTAGTGACCCATCCTGACCGAGGATGTATAAGGATAAGACCAGAAGGCAGGCTGGGGCAGATGTCCTAGCCCTGAAAAGAGAGCCAGCTTTGTGTATGTGACAGTCCCGATCCTTTTACTGCTGGATAAAGAGCAGGGAGCAAAACACGGGAACACTATAATTTATTTTCTTTGTGAAGTCCTGGCTGTCCTGGATCTCGCTCTGTAGACCAGGTTGGCCTCGATCTCACAGAGATCCACCTGTTCTGCCTCCTGAGTGCTGGGATTAAAGGTGTGTATCACCACTGCCTGGCTAACACTGTGAATTTTTAGGAAGCTTTACTGTAGTGGGTATTTTGATTTTATTTTGTTGGGACAGGTTCTCACTGATGTCCAGGTTGTCCTGGGAATCGTCATGTAGCCCAGGCTAGCCTCAACCCCAAGTGCTGGTTTTACAGGTTTGAGTCATCATGCCCAGTTAATCTACTTGGTATTTTGAAAGAGCACAATGTGAAAACTTACAGTTAAATCAAGAGGGAATGGGCTCAGGGAGAAATGGTCCAGAATAAACACCTTGCCTTCGGCCAAGTTGATTTGTTTCCCATCTATCTGGTATATTCTCTAATTTGTCAGCTTTCATAATCATAAATAAAGTCATTTTTAAAAGAGGAAGTCCTTTTGGCAGCTTCTGCTTGTTTGGAAATGAGGGGGATGTGTAGAGGATGTAACCAGGGAAGGGCAAATGGCCCTTTCAACACAGACAAAAGCTCCTGAGGCTTGAGTTAACACAGTGGTAGTGGAACAGTCAGTTCCCCCTCGACTAGAGAAACACACGCACCCTACATTAGTACTTGGGCAACTGGGAAGATAGGGACCTGGAACTGGAGTAGTCCGTAGGAAGGCAGTTTAGAAGATGTAATGGTGGATTCTGG